ACCTTCCTTCGCCTTCTAAGATTTTGTTTTGTATTGTAACCCATTTGTTACAATAACTCTACACACTCTCGTTTCCACTTAAAACTTTATTGCTTCTTAAATCAGCTGACTTTTGTTTTATAAATAAGTGTTCATGGGCACTGTGAGCATCACTGTGGATTAAACTGATGGTCTCAGGTAAAACCAGCACACTTGGGTTGCCCTTCCTTCGCCTTCTAAGATTTTGTTTTGTATTGTAACCCATTTGTTACAATAACTCTACACACTCTCGTTTCCACTTAAAACTTTATTGCTTCTTAAATCAGCTGACTTTTGTTTTATAAATAAGTGTTCATGGGCACTGTGAGCATCACTGTGGATTAAACTGATGGTCTCAGGTAAAACCAGCACACTTGGGTTGCAGCACCCTGGAGAAAACAGGATAGAGGATTTTTGTGATTAAACTAGCATAGGGGCAAAGGGTGCTCCTTTTGTTAACTTGCCAGGCAAAGGTAGTGCTGGCATTGCCCAGGAGAGAGGCCACAGGCGGGTGAAAGGCTGGTAGTGTCAGGAATCTGACATCCAGCCAGATACAGGCAAAATTCCCTCGTGCTGGGGCAAAGGAGTAACAAGATGACCCACAGTCCTGGGTGTCACCAGGACTGTCACCACGCCCATTTTATTAGAAGGGAAACTGATACACACAGATGGTCATGGAGCTAATTGGTAGGATAGCCTGGAACAGGACTCAAGGCACCTAATTCCCTGTTCTGTGCTATTATTCAGGCTGAAATCACTGCTTCCCTTCTTTGAGGCTCACCTCTGCCAAGAGCTGAGTACCTCCTGCCAGGTGCCGTGTGCTCTCAACACCCACTGACTTCCAGAGCAGCAGTCAGGTCACACAGGCATTGTTCAGGCCTCGCAGGGCCAGTCACCTCATTAGTATCTGAGCCAATCCACTCCCGCTCCATCTAGCTGGCGCTCATATCACAGTTCACTATAATACTGCTTGGCACTTAAAATAGCCCTTCAGATTTTCAAAGCTCTGTGCAAGCATTAACTTGAAACTAGCTCCCTGTATGTGCTAATATCAAAATCAGGTCCAGCCCTCCACCCAGCCAGCAACAATACAGGGTTTCCTCTGCAATCCAAAGGAATAGATTTTGAGCAGAAATATGAATTCCTAGACAGACCTGATGTAAATGTGGATCTGAACAGTGGCAGAGCAGATTAGAAAATTCCCATGTGTCAACAATAAGAAAAGCAAGGTCTGACGGAGACAAAAAGCTATCTGCCTGAAACACTGCTTCCAGGAATTTGGCAAGTATCAAACATGGTGTCCCTGAACTCTCAAAAGCCCAAGTGCTTATCTTGTATTTTTTTATACCATATTTGAGCATGACCACGGCTGGAGACACAACATAGCATCCAACATAGGAAGGCTGAAAGAATTGGGTTTGTTTAGTTTAGAAAAGAGAAGATTGAGGGGGGACATGATAGCAGTTTTCAGGTATCTAAAAGGGTGTCATGAGGAGGAGGGAGAAAACTTGTTCATTTTGGCCTCTGAGGATAGAACAAGAAGCAATGGGCTTAAACTGCAGCAAGGGAGGTTGAGGTTGGACATTAGAAAAAAGTTCCTAACTGTCAGGGTAGTCAAACACTGGAATAAATTGCCCAGGGAGGTTGTAGAACTCCATCTCTGGAGATATTTAAGAGTAGGTTAGATAAATGTCTATCCGGGATGATTTAGACAGTATTTGGTCCTGCCACGAGGCAGGGGACTGGATTCGATGCCCTCTCGAGGTCCTTTCCAGTCCTAGTATTCTATGATTCTATGATCCACACTATCGTGTGTGCAAGTGAGCTACTTAGATGGGGAATCAAAATGTGGGTGGCAACATAACCCAGGGACTTTTGTAACTTCTTCAAAAAGAGAAGAAGTTTTACCTTTGCGCTGTTCAGCATTTAAGACTAAACTACTTGTCTGGTTTCAGTCACTCGTCGGACGCTGCTGGCAAGACGTGTAATGTGGTGACAAGTGGATCTCGTGCACAAATGGCTCGCAACTTCTCTGCAAAAAAAAAAAAAAAAAAAAAAATTAAGAAAAGCAGATTTTTCACACAAAGTAAAAAAATAAGTCTTTGCTTGAGAAAAGTAACAGAGGAGAGAGCTCTGTTTGTGAATAGATTACACTTCATCTTCTTATGCAGATTAATCTGAGTTTTCACCGAGCAACTGATTGTGCAGCAAGCCCTTTTGCATGAATTGGGAGAAACTCTGATTTATCCAGTTTGCAGGTTTTGTTTAAGAAAAACAGAAAGTAATCTCTCGCCTGTGAAGATGATAGGCGTCACGATGACAGCGAAAGGCCGGTATTTTTAGCTGAAGATACAAAGCCCTTGCTGTCTGTCTCCCTTCTTCCCTCCCCCACCCCCATCACTAGCTTCAGAATTATCTCACGGAGCATTGGTTACAGCAGCCTCAGAAGCACTGCACTTTGACCTGCAGTTAAGTTCTTTACTAGCTATGAAATTAGTAGATTCCTTACTGACACTGCGTGTCTGCGCACACACGTGTTTGTGCATGCACATCTGTGTTTCCACTTTAAACAACACTTGCAAAATAAAAATAACTGAGCGATGTGGCAAAGGGCTGCTTATACACTATATCCCCCTGAAACACTTACAGGAAATAGCTTAAACTCAGCAATCCTTAGAAATCATGTGTAGGTTAGTTAATTCAAAACGTTTTCTACACAGTCTAATCCTTCATGTTCACTTCACAAGCAGAGGTCACCATTAAAATCTGTACAGTTTTACTTTTCACAAGATTGATGCTACTAGGGTATTTCCTGGACTTGGCATAAAGAATACCACTGTAATGTTAATTACCTGCTAACAGCAATTTGCACAGATTTTAATGGGGAGCACTGTCGGTCATACAAAGTTTTAACCAATTCATGCATACCCAGGTCACTTATGTATCATGTTATGTAGAAAACTCTTTTTATGCATCAATTAAATTAGATCCAAGAGCTTAATAATTACTAGTTATGGAGGAGAAAGAGAACTGGACTAAAAGTCGCAAAATAAGTTGCACCTGGCAAGAGTGGTTACACTGAAATACTGTATTTTGCCCTAAAACTAGGAAGAATCTACAAAGCCCTGGCTGCATGCTTGTAACATCCTACCAGACTACTGACATCAAATCAGAGTAGTGTCTAATGCTTTCCAGTAGAACAGGAGGGAGGCTTTTAATTAATTGAAATCTGAATCCTCCCTCTATGATCTGAAGGCCACGCTCTTGTGAACCGACACTGATCGAGACCACCACCAAACTGGAGGCTGGTTGATCATTAGAAAGGGAGATAGGCCAGAAGAAGGTAGCTGAGCCACAGAAGAAGAGGATGACAATTTCCCTTTCCTACTATGTTCACAAACCTTTTAGCTGTGCAATGAAAAAGCCCAGAAGGAGGTAGCACCAGATACCTCTCCAGGAGAGTCAATAGTTTGGGAATACTTTGAAAAAGACATCAGCCTACATCCAATGCCTGAACTGTAGTGCACTTCTAAACTTTGGTTCTTCCTATATGGAGGTATTTCAACATTTGAGGTTTGAATCTTTGCCCTCTCTCACAACAACAAAACCCCAGTCTTAACACTCCTGAATTCTTTGTGACAGAACAAAACAGTGTGCCCTGCTGAATCAAGCACATGTCTACTTTAAAAACCTTTTACAACATACAAACATCCATAAAATCAGATGCACAAAAACGAACATTAATCTTAATCTCCGTTGGAGGTGGGGGGAAATACCATCAGTTGTAATTTACAGTGGGTGAAACAAGACAGAAGGTTCCTCCTGCAGAACTCCTCATTTTAATCAGCCACCTTACTCTGGCTGTTGGTATTAAAAGAAAAAGGCACGCAAGGAGCATGGTGCGGAAGCTAGGCGCTCCCTGTCCCAAAGTTCTACGTCAGTAGGAAGTGGCCAAGTCAACCAACCTCTCTGCCTCAGTCTTCCCCTATATAAAATGGAAACAATGATCCTTTACCAGATTGGGACAGTGGCAGGAACAATTCAAAGACACCTGCAAAGCACTTTAAACAATACAGTCCAGCACTACAGAAAACTAAAGGCTCTTTTATGGCTCTACCAACCAGGATGGAGAAGACGACACACGCGCATGTGTGATAAGAGGTGTTAGCGAGGGAGGGGAGGGGGACAAAGAGAAGGAACTTTGCTTTCCAATGGCCAGATTGGTTTACCACACTGAGTTAAGTCCTGGACAGCACAGCTGCAAGTTATAAATGTCCAAGCAGGCAGACATGAGTGGCATCCCTTCCAGTTTGCCAAAATTCCAAGCAATTAGAACAGCTAGCACTCTCAGCTCTTTCGTAGGTTGCCAGGACAGAGCCTAAACAGCAGGGAAGTATGGAGGGAGAGAGTGTTGTTTTAAGAAACTATGTGAAATCAATTTCATTTTTGATTTCCACTTCAAAATATTATTTGGCTCTCCCTACAGCCTTTATGAATATTTGTCTTACGCTGTCACATGTCCGCCAGAAATCAATATCCTCTTCTCCTCACTAACTAGTCGCCTGTGTCATCACCTTTGCAGCTGCCCACGACAGCAGGAAGAGGAGGACTGGTTTCTTACTTGTCTCATTTCAGACAACTCATAACGTTCGACTTAGACACCAGAGATAAATACTCCTATTTTGTCTGACTGCCAACAGGTTTTAAATCAAATTCTGTGTCTGTCAAATGCACTTTTCCCCTGAGTACATATGGAAGGGCCTCATTTTAGAAAACAACTAATGATCAGAATATGGGGAATTTTAAATTGATCCACCAGGATGGCTAGTGAAGGATTCATACACTCAGGAGATGTGAAAGGAAGCAAAGGACACGCCAAGAGAGTTCAAACGCTCCCATGGAGTACAAATGTCGGGAAGAACAATTACCATTTGTATGGTAGTAATGCCTGTGGGCCCTGATTGCACTAGGCACAATATATACTTGTAACAGGGCTCCCAAGGTTTAACAACTCACAATCTGAATTGACAAGTTGTCCTATGTGCCAGACCCCTCCCTTAATCACCAACTCTCCCTCTCCTCCAGTCATTGGTCCCTCAGCACTAGCATGTCTGACCCCAAAGCAAAGATCAGAATCAGCTTCTAGAAATGGGGGTTACACATTTTATAAAAGCTTATAACTTTTTTCCCCTGGGTTACAAGTGAACAAATGCTTTCTAGATCAAATTTGTAATATAATGGTCTACCTCCTTTGTATTTTGATCTTGCCTATGCGTTGCATTTTCCGTCTTGCAAAAAAAGGTTAACAAGCTGTCTTTCTAATTCTCTGCAGTTGCATGCTGGGTAGGTCTAGAGCAGTGGTTTTCAAAACTACAAGTCGCTACCCCACTGCTGGTTGTGGAATGTCAGCAATTGAGTCTCGCTGTAGGGGGATCAGGTGACCAGCTAGCTGCCTGCCTGTCCTGGCACCACAGACTGTTGCACTCCAGAAGCGGCCAGCAACAGGCCCCGTTCCTGAGGTTGGGGGGCAGGATAGAGCACAGAGTTCCAGGCACTGCCCCTGCCCCTGCCCCAAGCACTAGCTCCACACTCCCATTGGCTGAGAACCTGCTGCTGGCTAGTTCTGGGGCACAGCATGTTCTGGGTGCCTGAAGAGGCAGGAAGCTACCTTAGCACCCCCGCTGCACTGCTCAGCAGGAGCCACTCAACATAAGCCCGTCCTGCCTCAGCCCTGACTGGCCCCCAAACAAAGCCGGAGCCTCCTCCTCCATCCCAAAACTCTCATCCTCAGCCTGACTCTGGAGTCCAGACTCTAGTCAAATTATGTCGGGTCGGAGAGATCAAAAATTTTCTTCAACTGAGTCACAAGAAAAAAAGTTTGAAAACTACTAGGCTGTGTCTAGACTGCATCCCTTTTCCGTAAAAGGGATGCAAATTAGACACATCGCAATTGCAAATGAAGCGGGGATTTAAATCCTCCCCGCTTCATTTGCATAAACGTGGCTGCCGCTTTTTTCCGGCTCGGAGCTTTGCTGGAAAAAAGTGCCAGTCTAGACGGGGATCTTTCGGAAAATAAAGCCTTTTTTTAAGAGGAATAAGGGATCTTTCGGAAAAGGCTTTATTTTCCGAAAGATCCCCGTCTAGACTGGCGCTTTTTTCCAGCAAAGCTCCGAGCCGGAAAAAAGCGGCAGCCACGTTTATGCAAATGAAGTGGGGGGACTTAAATCCCTGCTTCATTTGCAATTGCGATGTGTCTAATTTGCATCCCTTTTACGGAAAAGGGATGCAGTCTAGATACAGCCCTAGAGTAAGGAGAATGTACAGGGATAGTAACATAGCGCACCAAAGATGCAGCCTAAAGCAATGGAAGGGGGAGTTTCTATCAGTGTAGGAGCACCATCTTTGCAGGTGACACCAGCTGGGTCAATGGAAGCATTCTTCCTGTGATCTAGCTATGTCTACCCTGGAGGTCAGGTTAGCATAGCTTCTTTGCTCAGAGAAAGATTTTTCATACTGACTGAAATAGCTAAGTCAACCTTCATTTTCAGCGTAGACTAGACCTCTATTTAAAGTTTATCCTCCCAGAGAATCGAAGATGAATTTGCTCCAGCCCAGCTACACCCCAGCGGTCCTGCGCACTCCACACACTCCTTTCTCCCTATTGTCCCTGCCCACCCCTCTGCTCTTTCGCCTTCCCAGCCCAGCTCCTCTGCCCCCTCAGTCCTCGCTCCTTGCAATTCTGTGCCCGGCTTTACCCTGACAGTTCGGTTTCTTCCCTGTCTACCCAACCTGGCTCTCCCTTTACCACTCACTCTGACCCCCTCCTCCTGCCCGGCCGCTCCGCAGACCCAGGTGGGGGTTCAAAGCGGCAGGGAGCTCCTGCCTGCCCACCCTCTCACCCCCCCACTCTGCTGCTTCCCACAGTTGCTGCCATACTGCTACAGTAGTTTTATTTAAAAGGACCAGGGCCCCAGACCGCATTAATTCCATTGGGTCCCTGTGCAACTGCCTCCTTTGTCTCTCCCCGCCCAC